AGGCTGTTGGATCCCCTGGAACTGGAGTTACAGACAGTTGTTAGCTGCCATGTGGGTGCTGGGATTTGAACCCGGGTCTTCTGCAAGAACAACCAGTGTTCTTAACCGCTAAGCCATCTCTCCAGCCCCTTATTTATTTACTTCTATATATTTTGTTTAGTATTTTTATTATATGTGTATGAGTGTATTGCTAGTATTATGTGAGTGCACCCATGTCTTGCAATGCCCTTGGAGGTCAGAAGAGGGCATCAGATCCCCTGGAACTGGAGTTATGGATGGTTGTTAGCTGCCATGTGGGTGCTGGGATTCGAACCTGGGTCCTGCAAGAGTAGTCATTGCTCTTACATCTCTCCAGCCCCCTAGATTTCCTTTTCAATACCCAGTGATTTGGTTACATTTCTTGTAGCTCTGACAAATACCAGATAAGAAGCAGTTTAAGGAGGAAGGCTTTATTTTGGCTCAGTCTGAGTCTATCACGTGTCAAAGGCCTGGTGGTATGAGAGCAGCTCTTGGCTGTTGCAGCAGGAACATGAGGCAGCTGGTATCCTCAGTCAGGAAGCAGGGAGAGATGAACAAGATGGCTGTTCATCTGGCTTTCTCCTTTCCCCCTTTTTGCTCATTTTGGGACTCCAACCACTGGGGTGGTGCCACCCATCTTCAAAGTGGGTCTTTCCTCTTCAGTTAAACCTCTCTGGAAATGCCATTACAGACATAGCTAGAAGTATGTTTTTAGGTTCTAAATCCAGTCAAGTTGACAAAGAAGGTGAATCATCACACACCAGCTAGGTCTTGAATGAGACTGTGAAAGGGGGATTGGTGTGTCTCTGTTATTTTCCTTCTTAGTTATAAGAGTAAGTTCATGCTAAGGATCTTCATTCCCCCTCACCCCACTTTCTGTATTTTGAGACAAGGTCTTAGGTCTTACTATGTAGCTCTGAATGGCCTGAAATTCACTATGTGACCAGGCTGGCCTTGAACTTGTGTCAGTTCTCCTCCTTCTGTCTCCCAGCTGCTGACATTACAAGTGTGTACCACCAGAGCTGGACTTCTTTCTTCTCACGTAATTTTAGTATTTATTCATTTCTTGATAGTGCTGGGGATTGAATGCAGGGTCCTGTATGTAATAGACAAAGGGTCTCCCATTGAGCTATACCTCCAACCTTCTCTTCTTTAAAAAAAAAATTAAAATTATATCTGTTTCACATGCACATATGTGTGCATGGAGGTTAGAGGACAACTTGCAGGAATTGATTCTCTCCTTCTACCACGTGGGTCTCAGAGATCTAATGTAGATCATCAGGTTGGTGGCAAGAACCTTTACTTGCTGAGCCATTTTGCTGAGCCTCTCTTTTCTTATGATGGTAGTCAAAAGTGGATTGGTCTGGCCTTACCTGTATTTCCAGCACTAGAGAAGTTGAGGTAGGAAGATCATAAGTTTGAGGCTAGTTTGGGCTACATACTGACTTTAAGACCAACCTGGACATTGAGGCTTGGACTACTTTCCATCAGTCTAAAAATTTTCTTTTAAAATAAAAGATGATGATGATGATGATTGTTGTGAGTACATGATGTGGTGTGGCATGCATATGCTGTAGCACACATGTGGAGATAAAGGATAGCAATGTGGAATTGGTTCTCTCCTTCCACCTTTTCATGGGTTTTGGTGCTCAAACTCGGGTTGTTAGGCCTGGGCAGCAGGTGCCTTTACCTTCTGAGCCATCTCACTAGCCCAGTATAAAATTTATAAATTTATAAATGAAAATTATAATATATCATTATGTATCCTATATATGAGTCATAATTTATGTATTCAAGGTAGTTCTATTCCATTAAAATAGATGACTTGAATTCCTTTCCCATGTACTTTGTGTTCTGCTCCAGTCATACATTTCCTGTCTTTTGGGCATCTGCTGAGAGTCTGCCATGTGTAGCATATATAAAAACAACTGTATATCTAGGGTTTTCAGGATTCCACAAAGAACTGTTGATTAGGAGCTGCATCTAGGAGATGCATCTTAGCTGCAATCTAAGGAGAAACTAAGTGCAGTAAGAAAAGGAAAGATAGAGAATGAAGCACAGAGGAAGGTGAGATCTCCAGTTGAGGTGACTATGGGTACATTTATGAGGAAAATAATGTTTGGGTGTGTCTTGTCATAGTGAGGGGAAGTATGTGTTAGGATGAAGAAAGTACCAGCTTCTTGTTTCTTGTGTACATAGCATCATTTTCCAGTGTACTAGGTTAGGGACTTTAGTGCTTATAAACATGGCTTTAAAAAATATTCTTATTTTAAAATTTTTATGTGTTTATTTTACATTTTTTACATGAGTGTTTTGTCTGCATGTATAAGTATACATGCAATACCCACAGACCCTGGAAGAGGGCGTCAGCTTCCCCAGAAGAGAGTTACAGTTTTTAGCTGCTATGTGGTTGCTGGGAATTGAACTCCGGTCCTCTGCAAGAACAGCCAGTGTTCTTAACTGCTCGGACTGATATCTCTAACCTCACAAACATGGCTTTTAATTATGGTAAAATAAAACTTGTCCAATTTTTTTGTTTGAGACAAAGTATCACTGTGTAGCCCAGGCTGGCTTTGAACTTCTAATCCCCCTGCCTCTGCTTTCTGAGTCCTGGGATTCTAAGTGTGGGCCAGTATGCTTGGCCATTTTAGTCATTTTTACTCAGTGGCATTGAGTGCATTCATAACTGTTGTGAAACTATTACCACTATCCAACTCCAGAGCTTTTCATATTCCCAAACTGAAAGGCTGTATCCATTAAACTATAGTCAGTTTCCTTCTAGTCCATTGTAACCACTATTCAGCTTTCAGCCCATTCTAGGTACTTCATAGAAGTGCCAATAGAAATCATATACATTTGAATTTTTTTGAGATTAGTTACACCTTATTTATAAACTTTTTTTTCCTATTCCTTTAAGATATAAAACCTTACTATGTTTATGTAGGTTGGCCTGACCTAAGACAGTATGTAGTTTCAGCCTTCTCAGTAACTGGAACTACAGACCTGTGCCACTTTACCAAGCAGTGTTTTTCCTTTTGGGTTAAGCTTACTTCCCTAAGCAAAATGTCTCCAAGAGGTCAGGGAAATGACTCATTTTTGTAAAGTGCTTGCTCTTCAAGTGTGAGTACCTGAGTTTGGACTCCCCCTACCCCAAGCACTTATATTTTAAAAGGAGACCAGGAGAATAAACTGGAGGGATGACTCAGTGTTAAGAACACTGGCTGCTCTTGGAGAGGACCTGTATTTGGTTTCCAACATCCACATGGCAGCTAACAACCATCAATAACTCCAGTTCCAGGGAATCTCACATCCTTTTCTGACCCCTGCAGGTATTGTTCCACATGGTGCACTTATATACATGCAGGCAAAACATTCATACCTATAAAAAAAAAGCCAGGAGCAGCAGCTGTAACCTCAGCACTGAAGGAGGGAGGGGTGGAGAGACAAGAGATCCTGGAGCCTTGCTAGCCAGCCTGTCTAGCTGAAAACGAAGCTCCAGTTTCCTTCCTTCCTTCCTTCCTTCCTTCCTTCCTTCCTTCCTTCCT